TGCTGGAAAACTGGGCACCCACATGCAAAAGAATGAAACTGGACCACTTGCTTACACCACACACAAAAATAAATTTACAATGGATTAAGGACTTAAATGGAAGATCTAAAATGATAAAATTTCCAGAAGAAAACACAAACAGCAAACTCTCTGACATTGGTCTTAGCAATATTTTTTGCACCTGTGTTCTTCAGGCAAGGGCAACAAAAGGCAAAAATAAATACATGGCCTCACATCAAACTGAAACACTTCTGCACAGTGAAGGAAACAAAATGAAAGGGCAATCTAATAAATGGGAAAAGATATTTGTAAGTCATATCCAGTAAGGGGTAATATCCGAGATATATAAAGAACTTACACGGTATCAAAAAAAATTAATAGCCCAACTTTAAAAATGGGAAATGGGCTTTAGTAAACATTTTTCCAAAGGCATACAGTTGCTCAACTCACTCATCATCAGAGGAATACAAATCAAAATCAGGTATCACCACACGCCTGTGGGACGGCTCGTATCAAAAAGACAACAAACGAGCGCTGACAGTGCTGCAACAGTGAGGCACCGCTGGTGGGAATGCAAACTGGTGCAGCCACTGCGGACCACAGTGTGGAGGTTCCTCAAAAAGCTAAAAATTGAACTATGGTAAGAAATTCCTACTTCTGGGTATTTACGTGAAGATCAAAAACACCAATCTGAAGAGGTATCTGCACCCCACGTTCACTGCGTTATTTACAACAGCCAAGATAGGGAAGCAGCCCAAGTGTCCAGACAGATAAATGGAAGATGTGGGGCATTTACACACATACACACATACAGGAATGTTACTCAGCCATAAAAAAGGAATGAAATCTCGGCCACTTCTGAAACATGGATGGATCTAGAGAATATAATTCTGAATGAAAGAAGTCAGAGACAAGTCCATATGATTTCACTTCTGTGGGGAATTTAAAGCAAATTAGAAAGAGACTCACAAGTACAGAGAACAAATGTAGCAGGATGGGCAGAGGTTGGGGGCAGGAGAAATAGGTGAAGAGGATTAAGAGGTAGAGACGTCCAGTTATAAAATAATAAATAATTGTGGGGATGTCATGTACAGCATAGGGAATAGTCGTTAATAATGTGATAACTTTCGATGGTGACTACACTTAAAACATGGGGGTCAGCTCATGATGTGTAAAAACATCAAATACACCCAAAGCTAATAGAATATCCAATGGCAATTACGCCTCAACAAAAATATCACTCTAAAGAGTCACGAGTATTGGTGAGCAATTCTCTTTTTCAAAGAAAAGGGAGAGTGCTGAGACACCATGGGGCGTCTACAGCAGTTTGTTGGCACAAGGAGATTAGGGGGGAGGTATGGCAGTTAAACTTGGTCACGCGTGGTGGGTGTAGCTGGACGACGACCACTCTTAACAGAGCTACCATTGTCCACGTTCCAATGCACTTTCCACACACAATACCTTTGGGAGACACATCCAGATAAATTCATGACTCACTGGAGCATGACCACGGATGAACACAAGCCAGTATTCTAACCCCTGTATCCCGTGAATGCAGGATCTTAGCCTTAAGCCAACACAACTCAAAGTGTGTAAGATTTACAAAAAGCGCGCAGGTTCACTGAGACTCAAAGAAACCACAGCAGAACTATTTTCCTGCTCCCATCTTTGGGCACAGAGAGTCTTATAAAGTTCGGTACTAAAATTTAAAAAGTTCAAAATCCTGGGAGAAAAAAAAAAGGTGTGTATGGATGCAATTCTGTATGTGTTTGTGTCTGTATATATGTGTATCTGCGTGTGTCTGCATACACATGTGCCTACCTGCGTGTGCATCCGCGTGTGTGTGCATCCATGTGTGCATTATGTGCTTGTGTGTATCTGCAAATGTCTGTGTGCCTGTGCATGTCCGTGTGTGCATGTCTGTGAACATGTGTCCATGCATGTATGTGCATGTGTTCATGTCTCTATGTGCACATATGTATGTGTATGCATGTGTATACACGTCTGTGCCTGCCTGTGTGTGCATGTGTCTGTGTATGCATGTGTGTGTGCATGCCTGTGTACATTTAAATTGAAGTGTTCAGAAAAAGCGATTCTCTCTGGATCATGTGTATTTACCAACGTCTTGGCATTTTGTAGGCACAGACAGCTAATAAAGTATAGCAACCATTTTTAAAATCCTCTAATGAAACAAATTACTAACTCAGTGTCATGGAAAAACCAGGCTGGCTGACACTTTGGCTGCAGCAGGAGCTAGTAACTCCATAAGGAAAGAAGAGAAAACTGAAGATTTTAATTTACACTTTGGAATATCTCATTAACCCAGCCCTGTAACAGTTACTGTGTAAAGCATACAGCACTGGGGTGCATGGTGTGTTGGGGCATGAGGAGAGAAGCATCTTGACTCCCAACTGCTGTTCCACACACTCCCCACATGCACTCGCCCCGAGGCAGGATGGGGGAGCAACAACTCGGCCGCAACAGGCTCAGTTCACCGAGCCCTGGGCAGAACAACAAACACGTTTAAACACACACACTATTTAAAAACACACTTCTGAAGGCATTACGTGACAGAGTCAATTTAAACACGGTCACAGTAAATTCTGGACAACCAGTTGTGACAGGTCCACCAGAGTCCACACTTCTCAATACGAGGACTTTTCTGATCTCTGTGTCAAATTCCAGTTGTGACAACTTGTGTCTTCAAGGGGGAAAGTGACACACACATTGGTCATTACAAAGTGATAAGTGGTGAGACCAGGAAAAGAACACAAGTGGAGAAAAGGAAGATGCGCCAACAGGAACTAAATATAAAAATATTTAAAATGCCCACAAAATGAGATAAGCCAAGACAAGAAAACAGAAGAGAGACCAGAGAGATACAGACAAGGAAAAGCTATTGTGGACCAGGAAAGGGAACTGAGAAAAATCATGGTTCTACTTCCTACTCAGTTCAGGAAACCTCATCTCTGAGCTCTGGGTTCTTCTCCTGGCGAAGACTCAACAGGAGGTCCACGAAGCTGCCACAGCAGAAACAGAAAACACACAAACATGGACTCCTCCGAGCAGAAGCAAACCTTGTCTCCTCACCCAACCCTAGGACTGCCACAGTTAAGGCAGCAGAGAACCACGCAGTGCCTTCGTGGTCTTCAGTTTAATGGAACCATCCACAGAGCCTTCAATCGTCCCTCTACTTGAGATGGACCAGACCCAAACCCGCTCGCTCTTCTTACTGCGCAGCTGGACTTTGGTCCCAGCTTCTTCCGGGGTCAAAGGTGTCAGGAGTGTCAAAGGCATGCCAGCTGTGGCTGAGACCAGTCCGCTACATCAGACAGGTGGTGACGCCATGACAGCTGACGCACCGGCCCATCCTGTCCCTCCCCACAATGCCTGAACGTAGAGACTGCCAGGAAGGTGGCGGGTGCACCCACGGCCGCCAGCACCTGTCCCAAAGGCATGCCTAAGGCCACCTGCTGGCCAAGAACTCCACATGAGTTCGAGTTAGGCCATTAAAACCTTGGGACTTGTTGTAACAGCTAGAATTATGAAGATTAATCCAAAAACCAATTATCTTTTTTAACTAGACCCTAATTATGTGAGATTGCTTTAGACACCCGTGGACTTGAGATCCAAACACACCTAAGCATGAGCACCTTACAGCCAACAAGCTGGGGCCCCGGACGCCACTGCCTTCCCTCCCTAATGGATCCTGTACACACAATACGCACTGCAGCTTGTGAACACTTGCTGTATGCTGTTTTCTTTGATCCTTATAACAATCCCACTGGTACCTGTCGGGGCTCAGTACGGGAGAGATCTGGGGCTCAAGTAGGAAAATTACATTAACTGCTCGGTGGGGGCCACAGGGTTCGAATCCAGCCGGTCTGATAGCAAACGCCATGCTCTCAGCCTGTGACGTTAAGCTTTCCCCTGAAGTGCCTGATCACCCCCGAAATCTTCTGTGTTTCAGTCATTTGCAAAGGAAAGGAACACCAAACCAAGGAAATACATAAACTGGGGGGAAAACGGGGTGTTACCAAATTTTAATGCACTAAAGGCTATGATAGTGAGAAAGTCACCACCACATACGCGCTACCAAAGCTTTCAACAGCATTTTAAGTGCGTTACTTTGTCTCCCCAGCCACACTGTGCAGAAGGCAGTGCTAACAGCCCTGCTGCACAGACGAGAGGACTAAAGCCCAGAAAGGTTAGGAGTGGAATCTCATTCGCCAGCGTTTCCGCAGAGTAAACCCTCAACACGTGCGGGACAAATGAACACAACGCGGATGTTGCTAATGATTAACGGAAACCCCCGCCGAGCTCACCGATGACGAACCCAACAGGGCTCCCGCCGGTCAGGGGGACGGAGGCCCACAACACGGACCTGCCCGTAACCACACGACAGCGTGGAGTTCAGCGTGAGGCTCTGCCTGCCCAGAGCTCTCGGCTCCGTGCAGGCGCAGAGGGGACGCCCACTTGGCGTCTGAGCTGCACCCACAAGACACGGTCCGTAAAAGAGCAAGCGCAACGGTCTGAAATTCACAGTCGCTGCTAGAAAGCCTCCGTCCACCCCCGGGAGGAAGCCGCGCTCAAGCGTGGGTGCAAAGCCCAGTACGCACCGCGTCCCGCCCCACGCCGTCCCCGACCCGGGCGAGCCCTCACGTGGGCCAGCGTCCGGCTCAGAGGTCCCGCGAACTCTCCTGCTGGCGTACACCCAGCCCCACCTCTACTGCGCAAACTCGGCCTCTCAGAAGGTGCCCTGGCAACGCCCAGAGGAGCCCCCGGGGTCGACGGCTCGAGACGCACACCCGGAGCCCTCTTGTCGACGGGGCGGGGACCACGCCACGCTCCGGCCGCTCCCTGCGCCCTACCCTCCCCGCAAACTCACCGCCGGGGCTCCCCAAGGGCATACCCACGTCCTCAGCAGTGACAACGGAGGTGTCCGCGCCTCCAGTACCGCCCCGGCCCGCCCCCAGCGCTCAGTGGCCGGGAGCGCTCACCGGGAAGACGATGTTCCCGAGTTCTCTTCGGCGCCGGCCCTGGAACCGCACTGCCGGCCGAGCACCGCCCTCCTTTCGAGGAGCTGTCGCCGCGGGGCTGCATGGACCCCGGGGGCACAGACACCCTGCGGGGGGGGGGGGGGGGGGCGCCCACGCCGTCCCTCGTCGGTCCGGGACACCTCGAGCTCAGGGCTGCTGCGGGCGCGGGGCGACGCCCCCTGTCGGCCGGCTGCGCAGGTACCGCGTGAGAGCCAGTGAGCGCGGCCATCTGTGCCCAGGGCCCTCCGCGCGCCCACCCGCGCCACAGCCCCTCTGCAGAGAGGGGGCTCTGCAAAGGCACCCCCCCCCAACAACGCCACACGACCGAGGAGACGCAGGCGGCTCACCCCACCCCATCCCCCGCGGAGACCCCGGGCGGCGGGCGCTCAAGAGCGGGTTTGGGCTGCAAACCCGCGGTAAAAGGCGGGCGGCCCCAACCCCGCGGGGACCGAGGCAGCCCAGGCCCGACGGGATGTCCCCAGGAGGGCGCCGGCCCCAGGTCTACCTCCCCACACCCACCGCGCCGGGGCGGGCGTGAGCGCGCGTCACAGGGACCCCAGCCCCTGACCCGTTCTCCTCAGAGCTGCCGAAGGCGCCACGAGGAAGACACGCGGTGGCAACCGGCACGTCACGTGCTGTCCCGGACAAGCTTCGGGGGCGGGAAACCCGTCCCCGGGAACAACGAGAAAATCACCGACAGTGCCGACTTTACCGACAAAGTGTTCGTCTGCTGGCTGTGACGGACGGACCAGCCCCTCGCGTCATGGATACACCTCCCTGCTCGCGTAACAGACCTGCCCCGGGGAGTGGTGGACGCGTCCTGCCCGCAGGACGGACGGAGGTGCTCGGAGAGTGAGGGCGGCGCCCCGCTCGCGTGACGGACGCGCCCAGAGACTGACTACGCGCCCGGCTCGCGTCGGGCGTCCGCCAGGGGCAGGAAGTGTGGGGTCCGCGGGAAGCCGGTAGCGTAATCACAAGGAACTGTTCTACAGTTTAGTATGGAGATTCCCTTCGTTGGAAAACGAAGCCATTCCCATGAAATCTTTGTCTCGGAAGCATAAAGGACTTCACTTTCTCCAGAAAGGTAACACAGCAGGAAATGGACGATGCAGCAGCGTCTGCTGCTCGAGGCCCCGGAACCGCTGGGAAAGCACCCCCCACCCCCACCCCGGGCCTGGGCCGCCGTCCACACCGCAGGCAGGTCGGGAAATGCGGGGCCGCGCGGGCAGCACAGACGACGTCAGGGCGACGGTTCCGGCCTCCTGCTGCCCCGCCCGGGACACGCACAGCCCGTCCGCCTGCCCCAAATCACAAGCCCCACGGACTGACAGAAACCGTCCGCCGGGGGCACCTGGGCCTGCGGTCGCCACCAGCACGGACGCCCCCCCGTGGGGACACTGGAGCAGCCCCATTAGCTCGCTGGGTCTGGGGCTCCCGCGTCCTCTTCCTGAGCAGCACCGCGGGCCCGCAGATGCTCCCTCCCTTGTGTCTGGGGCTCAGGCTCACACCCCCGGACCCCACCGCCGTGCGTGCGGCTCCCGCAGCCACAGGAGGGCTGGCCGTGGCCCACGCCGGGCGTGCTGGCTCCCCGACAGCCCAGCTCAAGGCGAACATGCTCACGCAGTCCCCATGGAGGCTACCGAGTGACGCGCAGACGACGACGCAGGAGATCCCGCGGCCTGGAACCGCCTGGAGCGGACCTCTGCGAGACGGTAGGGAGCTCCCCCGACGGGCTCGCAGGCCCGGCCCCTGTCCAGGCGGCCGCATTCTTGTCCGCAGGGACCGGTTCTCTGCTCTTCTGGGGAAGGGCCGCCCCGCGGGTACCCCCAGCGAGCAAGTCGGCTGCCAGGCGCGGAGCCTCCAAGCGGCACATCACCGCCGGCCGCGCCTGCAGGCTCCAGCTTAGTGCACGAGCTGCTACAAGTTCTCACTTCAGATCTCCAGACTGCCTGGCTGCCCACGATGGCACATGAATGCGACTGTGTGGCCGTAGCCATCACTCTCAGTGTTACCTCGGCCTCCTTCAGAACCTCACGTCTTCAGGGGTTTTGTGGAAGCTCACCCCCTTCAAAGTGCCACCTGTTCCTCCACAGAGCGTCCAAGATCAGAGCCGGCACACCCAGCCCCTCCTGTCTGATCCAGAAACGGAGTCAGTGTGTCCAGGCGTTGGGGGCCACGGTGGGGTCCCTGCAGTCCTGCGCCCCAGATCCCAAATCTCCATCCACGACGTCTGCAACTCAAGGTCATCTGTCCGACCAACAGTCTGTGCAACAGTTTGTGCCTGGGGTTTTAGCAAAGAAATCGGAGACGGCCTCATCTTGGCCCCAAACTGTCACAGCAGAGACCACGAGACTGGCCCCTCAGACTCCAGCCTCACGGGAAGGTGGTGCCAACCTGAAGTCACCAGCTCTACCCACAGGGTCACAGGCTGCCTGGACTGCTGTGGGCAGCATTTCATGTTCGCTACCCACACTCCCAGGACTCGACCACAGAACCGGCCCCACGTACTTGGGCATGCAGCTCAGGGAAGCCTTCGTGACCTCCAGCCTCAGTTTCCCCATGGGCAAGCTGTCCATTCGGTGCCAGCTGAGGCTCCCAAGTATAAATGGGCTACATTTTAAAGAAACAGTGAAAAGGAACTGAAAGCAAATTTTTCTGCCAACTACATTCCTTTCGCCTCCCCTTCCCAAGCCCACAAGGGCTGCCACATGCCTCTGCCTGTCACGCCGCCATCCGCCACATCTTGCTGTCCTCCCGTTCCTCCTTTGAGACTCTCCTGGCTGGCTCACTGCCCTGACCCGGCCATACACGCTGTCTTTCTAAAACGGAAAGCACTCTTTTTCTGTTTCTGGGAATATCTGAAGGGGTTCCACCTTCCTCCCAAACCCCTCGGCGCCTGCCAACTACACCGTCCCTTGCACATGGTGGGCTGGCCAGGCATCAGGGTCCCAGCCCTGCACCCGTGTCCCCAGCTCCCTGCCGCTGCCTTCCTGGGCATCGATCCCCTAATGAATAAAGGAGGAGGAGCCCAGGGTGCTGTAGGATTGAAGGGGCACCACACACATCACTGCTCAGAGCATGTGCTGCTCTCGTGACAGCTCTTACGTGGGGCTGCTGTCAGGGCCCGTGTCTCCAGCTCCCCCAGCGCCTCGCAGCCCATCACAGAAAGTCCCTGTGGGGACAGGGCCCGGCAGAGGGCCAGACCATTGTCCTTCTGTCCTCAGGGGGCAAGACCTCTGGCAAATGAATGGTAGATGGTGACATGCTGCTCCATCGTGAGATTAATCTTAAAATAGCATTTGTTCTGGCCAATAGGATGAGAAAACGCTGCAGGCGTTTTGTTGCTATCTGATTTCTAACGCGTCCAGGAAGAGATGCACGTACCCCCACCCAACTTACATCACTTGGCCTCCAACGCCCGCAGGGCCTCGGATTTCAGATGCCTGATTCTGCAGTGCTCCCTCCAGGACCACAGTTTCCACAGCACATACCGCCAGGAAGAGCAGAGCAACCAGGAGGTGGGCCCAGAACAGTGGACTCCAAGCCCCCACAGCACGCACAGAGACACTCAGAGCCACCGTCACACAGGTGGGCAGAGGAGGAGATCCCCACCACGTCTCATCCCTGCTGGCCTGGGTGCCCCTTCTGCGCTCCCCTCACTGCAGTCTCGCCCAGCTGGAAGTCCGACAACCTGCCCCCCACACCCTGAACCAGCTCGTGCAAGGGATCCCTGTGAAAATCCACATCTGATGAACAGGGGAAAGGCAGCTTAGGGGATTTCTTGGCAAGGATGTCAATGAGGCGTGACCAAAAAAGTAGGAGTCATTTCCAAAGAGGGCAAATGACCTCTGGTGTGGGCCCAGCTGGCCAGCCCCCAGACCGCCACACAGGGCTCCATGACCTGCCCCTGCCCCACCTGCTTCAGTGATCTCTTCTCCCCTGGCTTCCTGTCGACCGTCCCACAGACACTGACTAACCAAGAGGAAGAGAGGGAAGACTCAGGACTGCCCTCTCAAGCACCTAGCATCACCTTCACACACGCTAACATCTCAGACTCAGCTGTGGACAACCTTGTCCTACAAACAAGAAAACCTATGTTCACAGACACTAAGGCACTGCTCCAAGGTCAACAGGTAAAAGTCCACACTCCCGTCACACGGCCTGCCCATGCCACGATGGCTCCTGACATGGAGTGCAGGATGGTGCCCACCACCCACCAACACGTAACAACGCACAACTCAGCTCCTAATGGTAGAAACTCAGCCAGACTTGAACTCGGGGGACCACATGCAATCAGCTCCGAGAGGATCTCCCTTGTGCTCAGAAATCTGGGCGACAGGCACACACTGCTGCACACCCTCATTCGAGTGGAGACCCCCCGCCTGGCCGGTGCCCCACTCATACCTCCCTGGATTTCCTGCTGGGGCCTGCAGGGGTTGGGGTCCCAGACCCTCCTCTCCAGCTGGCTCTCCAGAAGCAGGTGCTCCAGGGAAGTGGTATGTTCCCCCAGCCTGCCCTTCCCACCACCTGCCCCACACCACACTCCACTGCTGGGGACAGAACACTGTTCACACACTCATCTGCAAAGTCACAGATGTAGGCTGTCCCCTGGGGCTCACACAACCAGACAAGACAGAGCCTCACGAGATGGACAGCTAGTCAGTTCAAGTGCCATTTATTATGTACCAACTGGATGCCATCACTGTGTTAAGAGCTACCAGTCCTGAGGTGACAGAACAGGAATCCAGGCTTCCCTGCAGATCTCCTTCACAGTGGACATGGTTCCCAGAAACAGTAAGACTGGGACAGTTCACTGCTAAGGAGTCAGACTGGCCCCTTAGTGGCCATCAGCACGCATAACAGATCACCAGTTTAACGAACAAGCAGTAATTGGAGATCAGGGGCTCTGAGGCCAGGCATAGGAGGAGGAAGCTGGGGTGTACCACAAAGATCAGGGGCAGGAGCGTTCCTTACATAGGAGCATCTGGACAGTGGTGGGCAGATGTGAACCTGGACTCCAGCAAACCCCACACCTGTAGTCCACACTTAACGATCAGCTCAGAA